GGGGGGGGGGGCAGGCTCTTCGAGAGTTAATATTAGTAATGTAGAGAAAATTAACGACAAATAGATTTGTAATTATTAGAGGTTGACGTGAAATGAAATTTTTTTGATTTGAATTTCCCGCTCGCCTGTGCAATGAAGTTACTGTGCACGGTGTCCCCTCTTACACTCACTTTCTGCTAAATGTTATGACACTTTTTTATTTATTAACGTTAGGTTTATTAAAATTTTAGCTAACATTTTAGGTGTATTTTAGCATTTATCGTATAAATAAATGTGTTTTAATATTAACACTTTAATGGCCACTCATGCAACATGTGTGTGATTGATGAACATAAATGGTTGCTCCAACAATTATCACACAAACAAAATATTAAATTTGTCATATTAAATGTGTCGTAATTGTTATTGTTTTCGTTTGTTTTACATGTATTTTTGCACACGTTGACTCATTTCATGAATTTACAAAAAGTTTTTCCAAATCAATACTTCAAAAATATTATTGGAACAACATTAGACTACGTAGGCGACCATTAAACTATTAATATTAATGAACACAAGAAATTTCGTTTCTGTACAAAACATCCCACAAAATAACACTTAGGATATATTCAGCTGTGAATTATTCGTATTGCATAATTGTAACAAGGGTTTTGCAATGAGAAAATTATAGAGAAGATTTGTTATACTATAATGAGGTTATAGTTATACAACACTTCTTTTGGAACACCATGTATATGAAAAGAAAGTATGCAGTATTATGTGCTAATGGATAATAAGCAATGAATTGGCTGACTCATTGTTTTTTCTGATAAAGAAATAGCCACTCTGTATTAACGTCCAGTCACCATTCTGAAATGTTATACTGACACCTGATATGGACATTGTAACTAGTTTATTTGTATATATAAATAATTTGTGTAATTTTTGTAATAATTTGTTTACACAAAATGTATACATAATTAATTTTATTTGTGTACACAAATAAACTAGTTTATTTACAGGAGCGAAATTTATTATTTTATGATTTCAATTGTTACACCTGTTACTGATAGAGTAACAGAAACTTATTTCTTTTAGTGTTATTAAATGGTAATAGTTTCTAATTAAATAAACAAAAGCTAGGTTTTCATTAATCTTGACGTTAAACATAAATAATAAATTATTGCATATTCCCACGAAGATTTCGCATAATTTCTCTTTCTATTCGCGTGCCAGGCAGGAAGTTTATTTTTAGCCTCCAGTATCATTTCATGCAATGTGACACACGTATTTTGAAAAAACCTAACTTAAAAATATGAAAAATAAATCAAAGATATAAAAATGAGAAACATGTTTATCCTTCAAAGCTGAATAATATTGATGAAACGTTTATGTAATCATTTTTGTTAAGTATTAAACTTCAGATTGATGCGCCAGGTGCCATTTTATAATCCTTCTAAAACCTGTAACGCTGATCATAGACGTTTGAGAGAAAATAAGACGCAAGTAGAATTTAACTATAAATGTTATCAAATTAAATTAAGAGATGAAGTACGATAGAAGAGTTAAGATAAAAATATGCAAACAATATTAATAATAGAAGTTTAAATAAAAG